CCGAAGCCGCTTGAGTCTCACTACCAGTATAATCCAAACGGGGCAGCTGCTGGGCATCCGGAAAGGCAACCAAACCTCGCACGTTGCTGCAACCTAAACCTCTCATGCAACGCTAAAGCTGCCTGCACCCAAATATCAGTCTCAGTGGACTGGGTGAATGGAGTTCAAGCAAGTACTTTGATCCCTCGCAGGACTCTGAGTCAAAGGTGTCACTGACCCAACAGGCAGCATGGCAGAGGCATATGGTGAGTGTCACCCCGAGACAAGGGGACAGAGCAACCTTCAAACTCGCACAAGGCGAGGTGGAACTCGGAGGTCTCCTCCATCCGACCACAGATCCCCAATGGGGGTTTCCAAGGCCCTTAGGCTGACTGCTAAGACAAGCCCAGGCAAGGTACTGCTAACCAGTTATCCAAGAGCTACCAAGCAAAAACTAAAAGCTGAACCCCTGCAACGTATGCAAGCACGCGGACCTAGTGGAGGGCCACCAAAATCCTACAAGTGGTCCTACCGCTACACCTGGCAGACCCCCCCCACCAGGCAAATCAAAACAAAAACTAGAGAAAAACTCTGCAAAAGCACAACGTCTCTGGGTGAATAGAACCGGTCGCTATGCGTATATCAAACAGCTGCACAGTACCCCGTGCCCCAGCCAGTGATGAAACTACCTCCTACCCAAGGGCAAACAGGCGTTAGAACCACCCCAGCTGAACCCCTCAAGGGCGGGCAATCACTGAGTAGTGACAGAACCATGCGAAGGTAGCTGTTCCTGAACGGCTCATGGAAGATAACCCTAAACCGCAAAGGCAGTACTTACGGGGCACCTATGACAGGTAGCCCTAGGTGCATGCAGCTTCAGTACTCTTGTGTTACTCCTGACTCGCAGACCACCAAAGCAGAGCAACAACACTGTAAAGCAGCACTGCGCAAAGAGTGGAGCCATCGACCGACCGTCACCATCACAACCACCTCTTGAACTGAGGAGAGTTGCCGGCGTGGAGGTTTGGGACCCCCCTGTCCCTCCTGGAAAGGGGAAAGATGCGCAGACGGATGTGCGGCGGTTGTGGGGATGTCATGTTTGTTTCCTTGTTTTTGATTGGCAAGTTCTGTTTGCAATTTGTGATCAGCAGTGGTTTGTTTTGGAATTCCTACCTTTCTGGGTGCCTGACCTGGTAGATGGCAGACAATGATTGCTTCCAATTACACGGGGGGGGGGGGGGGGGGGGGGGGGGGGGGGGGGGGGGGGGGGGGTCTTTAGACCATTGCTCCTCATGCCTCTTTTGAGGGGGCCAGGTTCTTGCTCTGGTCTCCGGTAGGCCTAAAACTGCTTCGATTGACTGTTGCCATGGTCTAATATATACACATCTGCATGGTATAACTCCGGGGAGCCAAAGGGGCTCTCCACAGAAAACAACAGTTTCACTATAATGCATCATTTTTCATATTACAGTACTTTGAAGTTAAGCCTTAATCTGTGTGCCCATTTATACGAGAGAATGGCCTGGTGTTTGGAAAAATAAAATGTACTTGACTAACATTAAAGATGGTGAAGCGAACACCCCATGGAGGTAGCCCCAGGCCAGATGGAGAATGGGAGTTACCGTGAATATATTTTTACAAGTTTGTTTGTACGTCACATGTTTTTTCACTGGGCTTTTGCAATATTATTCAATAGTGTGTCATTTGAGAAATTTATATAATAAAATGTGTGGAACATACAGTATGCTCACCGATACTCTTGTTACTAATATGTACACCATTCTCAGAATAATAAACGTACAATTTTGCAGTTATTACAGTACAGTACAGTATACAAACCTTATATATAACTATCTACACCCTCATGTACCATTATATACCACTAAGCATTTCTGGTGGGTGTAATAATCATGTAACCAGTGATCAGAGTTCAGCTTAGCCCTACATATTTTGCACAAAGTTGAAACTGCACACAAAGAATATATTAAATTTTAATTGTATTTTTTAATGCTTTTATCAATGCAATATCAATGCTTGTTAAAGACTTGTTAAAGCAGTGTGGAGGCACTGCTTTTTCAGGTGACATGGGCAACTGACTAGAATGTGTGGCTATGCTGTGCTTGGATTATGAGATTACCACATCTACCAAAACTACTTAATGGTTCGTAATGGTGTATAAAAATGCAGATAGTTATATATAATGTATGTATACAGTGTAACAACAACAAAAGGAGTGTTTTATTGTTCAAATAATACACATAATATTGTAATTAATGACAGTTATGCCCAGATATATTCATGTCACTAATTACAATATTATGTATATTATTTGAACAATAAAACACTTTTTGATGTTGTTACACTGTATACATACATTATATATAACTTGTGGTTATATATATATTGTGATGAGACAATTGTGTCTCATCACAATTAAAAACTTGTTGCGGTAGGTATCCCTCAGCCTCTGCAAACTTTTTAATTCTTCAATAAATCTTTCAGCCACTGGTTTGTCTTTGCTGGCAGCCTCCCCATGCCTCGCAACACTATGAATACCACTTCTTTTTCTAAATTTTCCAAACCATCCCCTGCTTGCCTTAAAGTCTACTCTGTACTATCTGTACTCGTTCCAGGGGTTTTCTTTACAAGGTCTTCGTGCAATACCCTGGCTTTCTCACAAATGATGGCCTCTGAAACACTATCATCAGCTAACTCCTTGTTGTGTATCCAAATTAATAACTTTTCCACCTCAAGTATTTGTGGTCTTTGTTTCATGATTGTTCTTACGCCTTTTGCCACTTTAGCACTCATGTCTTTTTTCTTGCCAAGAATAGTGCATATCGTTGACATGGCTTTGTTGTACTTCCTACAAAGTTCAACATCACATGTACCATCTTCATGCTTCCGAATGATCTCTTCTTTTTCCTCTATTGTCATCCTCACATGCGCTTTCTTGCCTTGATCCTTACCACTGGCTTTCTTGGGACCCATGGTGAGATATATAATAACTTTTATGGTCAAATGGCCAAAAATCCAACAAAACACTGAAAATCCTGGTGAAGAATTCAGGCGGGATAGTCACTGGGCGCGAGGCACTGGTAAACTGAGGGGCGATCACCATGTCCCCAAGCTCTAGGTTGGCCTGTACATGTATCAACACCCTGGTCTTCCAAAGCAACGTTCGTATTCCAATATCAATTTTCCGAGCAAATCCTGCTTGTATCCCGAAAAACTTGTATACAGGGACACTCATATTCCGAGGTACCACTGTAAACGCATTTGTGTTTAGGTGTTGTGGGTGTGCCAATGGGTGTACGCTCACCGGGTGGGGGGGGGGGCGGTATTTTGGACTTTATATGCATATACCCTCGTAGGGAAATCTATTGTGAACAAATTTATAACAAAATGAATGACATAGCACAAGAACCGAGGTGAGAAAACTGAAAAGAGTATACATATTTTATTGCTGTTGCGCACTCACGGGTAACGCTCGCCTGATTTTTGGGTTTGGTGTGCGTGGCTTTTGGACATTATACCTATATGCATATACCCCTGAAGGGAATTCTATTGCAAACAATTTGATACCAAAATGAATGACGTACAACGAAAATTTAGGTGAGAAAACTGAAAAGAGTATACACATTTCAGTGTGGCCACTCGCTCACTTGAAACGCTTGGCACACCTTGGGGTAGGCTGGGGCGCGTACATCGAGAATGCGAAAGTGTTAATTTTAACCCTTTAGTGTTTTTGTGACGCCTGCAGTTGTCATTTGCTCAAAACACTAGAATGTTTTGATTTCGAACATGTTGACTAACTTTAACTTATATTTTTGCTATTTTATTTTGCATTAATTGCGTTTTTTAAAATACCATCATAAAGTACAACTCTTTAGCTTAAAACGAATCCAAGTTGAACACTTTATCATGCATAGTAACTTTGCAGAATGGGTTGGAAGTAAAATATCACTAAGCAATTGGCACTTGGCCCAAGACGCTGGTACTGTATCGCACAAAATTGTTAAGGGGCAAAAATGCAAAAGGGTTAAGATGAACATCAAAATTAAAAATTGTAATGTGAATTAGTCACAAAAAGCCATATCCAAGACATAAGACTTCTCACATATTGACATTTAAGGGAAAGCAACACCCAGTTTTGCAAATTTAAAACCAATTAATCAACACCAGTTTAGAAGAAGCTACTCGGTGATCAATGGAACCTACAAAACACACTGAATAAAGATTAATATTCTGAATTGTGATATATTTTATCATAGTTCCCCTTATATTCAAATGTATTATTTTTCCCAGTCCATCCTTCTGTTTTGATAATACTTATAGTAACAATGAGGACCATAGTACAAATGCCAACATACCAATTAGATTAGTAGAAATTTTTAGATTACAACCAATTAGAAAGTAGAAATTTGTACTTTTGAATTTGGACAAACCAGAAAAGGTTTTGAATTTATGTCACAGACAATCTAAACTAACCTAACCTTCATACGCATAATACACACTGTCTGAGGCCTACTATAGTACATATGTATACTATGCAACAATGATCACACATGTATACTATACTAGGCCTAGGAATATTTAAGTTTGTTTTTAGCTTCATTTTTAGGACTCTTATAAAGTGAATACAGGTACCAAATTCTACTATCTAATTGATTACTACATCAATGCTTGTACTGTGGTGCACATAGTTACAAAAACTACTATCTAAACAGGAGGAATAGGTTGCATTTTTCATATCAACTGCTGAATATGTCTGGAAAACTTATACTTGGAGACTTTTTAATTACTGTAATTATTTGATCTCTCCCTCTATGATGTTAATACTATACAGCTAATATTACAATTAAATGTACTGTATTTCTAAGATACAAATTATATTATAGAAAAAAGCAACACAAGAAAATCTGCCCATTGTTTAGTAGTAGTAATTATTTTTTTAGTACAATTAAGTTTGTTCATGCCAGGCAAAGTGCACCAACCAAAATATTGTGAGGGATCACTACCTTACAGCGGTGGACTTTATCTCCTTATAGCTAACAAGCACGGGTTCAGTGACACTTTGGGGGTCCTCAGCAAGGCCCTTAAAGCGCAACTTTTGACCCTTTCTGAGAAAAGAAAAACCGGGGGATGGTTTGCATGACGACCAACACCAATCACAAAAGCTAGAGCAGTCTTCACTATTACACATTAGATTTAGCCTAGATATTAAACCATAATATTAGGAAAATGCCATATTCCCAATTTAAAATGTTAAGCCAAGATTATTAAATTTACTTAAGAATATCAAATGTACGACAAAATTTGGGGAGTGGAGAAAAAGTTCTCTGCATGTGAAAATAATATTAGGGGATGCAGACAATTTTAATTAAAAGTTAGTGAGGGTGCACTTGAGATATATGTGCCATTATGTTCAGTGAAATCCAGTTCTAAAGTAATTGAGAATATAGCATAAAGCCAAGCATTACATTTTCAAGTAGGATATATTTATCTCAAGTACAATACCTTATAGGGACACAAAGTTATAACAAATTTGTATTTATCTTTTAATATAATCAGTTACTTCCAAATTGTATTAATCAGTATAAAAGTACTAAAGCACTAAGTTGTTTTACTCCGGAGACACACTCGGTAAAACACCCCATATAATAATTAAACAAAAAATATTTGAATGTGGCCAGGAATAAAACAAAATTTCATGCGAAGACAGCAAGGCAAAACTCAACCAAGGTTTAAACATTTGGATAAGTGGATCAAGTTCTTACACCTGTGTAAGACAGATATGAATACATTAGCAAGAATGTCATTACAAGGTTCCTTTAACTGTTTATTCTTAAAATAAACAGTAACAAGTGGAATCTTCTCAAACAGCATGTTAGGCTGTACCTCATGCTTCACAACAATTATTACAGCTGTGGCTAAGAGTGCTGCATCACCTTAATATATGATGATTGTTGGTTCACTGTAATTCAAAACAGGACGAAGAATGATTTCAGTTAATCTACGTGGACACTGACTTGCGCCTCATTGAAGTTATATTCAATGTTCTCATTTCTTAAGAGATAACTCACTTTTCATACCAAGCCATTTTTTTTTTTTACTATTGTTAACAATAGTCCAATAGGAGCTATTGGACTATTGTTATCAATAGTTATTTTTGCTCAGATCCAGAAGAAATGATGCCAAAATATTGCCAGAAATAGATCATCCATCACTTATCTCTACAAGGAAACCTTGAACGATTACTGTCGGTTGCGACACCAGAGCTCTGCAGGCAGTATTATTCAAAGGTGACATGAAATAGAAAGTTAACAAGCAAGTGCATGGTTCAAAAGGCCACAACACATGCTCTTACCACTAGGAGGGCCTTCTTTGCTGATCCAATCTGTGCCAAAGAACTGCCATCAGTATGCACTTGCAGAGGAGCTGGCAGTACCAGCAATGCAAGTTCACAATACTGAGGCACTTTGCTGCCGTGCATGAAGGCATGCATTTCCAGAGTCTCATCATAAGAAGTATAACTTCAAAATGTGAATCAGATACAAAATATGTTAAAAAAAATAAAACAAGACTGAGAATAATAAGCCTTAAAGCAATGCTCTCTCAGATATTTTGCACTTTCAACTGTTTTAATTATAGATGGAATTATATCTGTAGAAGGAAATTGGATTCATCCAGGAGTGTATATTATTCCAAATGAAGCATCCCAACATGCTGCAGAATCCATACATGTTTTACCCAATGCCACAGAAATGATCAAACTTCACACAAGTTATCATCCAACATTAAACTCCAGTTTATGCAACAAGTGCTCCTTGTCATGAAGCCCAAGTGGTGAAGAAGGCACTGGAAGATCTTTAATTTGGTAGGTCTTCTGAAATATCCTCAGATTAGAGCTTCATCAAACTATTAGGTAAATGGAGGGTCAAAAGGTGCAGAAGTGACACCCACAAAACCCCAGCTTTGAATGAAATGAAATGCCATTTTCTGGGTGAGTCCCAGAGGCTCCCTGGAGCTATTGGACTGGCATTAGCATATATTAGTCTGGGAGCTTCAATCAAAGGAATTCTGCCTACTGGGGACCACGAGCCAGAGCTTGGCCTCCTCAGAGAGGCACAGGGAGTAATGGCCTAAGGAACCCCCCCCCCCCCCATGTATTTCGAAGTATTCTAAGTCTGCCATCGACTGGGGTTAGGCACCCGCATTCCAAAACAAACCCCTTTGGTAAGTAATTGGAAACCCATGACCAGAGAAACAGAACTCCCCCATAAGAAAACAAGGAAACAAGCAAACGTTATCAACCACCGCCCTGTCACTTGTCCGCGCAACCCCTCCCTCCTGCGATGGGGAAGGTGAGCCCTGGACCCCCTGCACCCGCTGCCCACTCTTCAGTTCGGAGACTGAGCATCAAAAACAAAACAGCCGACCTGAGGGAGGGAGGGTGCTAGGAAGCCTCTGGGGTTCACCCAGAAAATGCCATTTCATTACATTCAATGCTGGTTTTCTGTGGGAAGCCCCTTTGGCTCCCTGGAGCTACATAACCAAAAATAAGTAAAAGAGGGACTTACCTGGAAGGCGGCTGCACTGTGGGCCTCAACTCCAAGTCAAGACAACTGGCTGAAACTGGCAGCTCAAGGCCACACAAGAATGACTTGGACCCGAAACAACCACCAAATAACGGGCGGCCAGGACCCTGTTTGACCTCCAAAACCCCCACGACCAAATGTCAACCCAAGACAAGTTCTCAAACAAGGGCAGCCAAAGAAGCAAACTTATGAACATTATGAGCAAGAGGATAGGATAGCTAAACTTTATAACCCTGCGGACAACCTGAGACACCCGAGCAGTGGAACAGTGAGAGGGAAACTGGGTCCACCCAAAGCTCATTCAGACAAAGAAGCAGTGGCATGCAGGTACCAGTGAAGAGCCACCACTGGACACAACACATGATGCACCCCAGGCCTGACCAGCCAAGCATCGACAACCCACGGATGTATGGTTCCGGAATCCCCGCTGTCTCATTCTTCACCAGAAAAGGAGGCGACACCTGCAAACATACAAAACGGCCACCAGGCCCAAAGGAGCAGAAACCCCTGTGCCAGAGGAGAGCATGAAACTCACCGACCAGACCACCAAAGCCAACAAAAACAAAGCCTTCTGAAAACAATCTTGGACTGAAGAGGCCACAATAAACCAAGGAGAAGAGAGAAAAAGACCAGGACAGCTCAGGTGGTGCCGGAGGTGGAAAAACGAACGAGAAAGCTTATGGAACGGAGCAGAAGTGACATCTACCCCGAATGCAACCTGGAGCGGCTTCGCCAGTGCTGCATGATAACAGGCGACAGTATTTGGCATGAGATGTTGGTCCTGATAGAGCCAAGAAAGCAAAGACAAAACTCAAATGGAAACAGTGGGCAACCTACAAAGAGAAAGGAAATGGGGAAAAAACACCGAGAGACTTCATACTGCCGTCTAGAAGAAGACCGCAGGTGGGACACCATGAGAGAAATCACCTGATCCCCATACAAGTGGTGATACACACGCGTCAAAAATACCAGATGCAAAGAGCAGAAGAGTAGGTCGAACCGGTCTGATCTGCAGGAAGAGGCGTAGCCATGGAAAACTCCCTGGGTTTTGAACAGTCAATGACAGTGCCACAATGGACGCTCGCTCCAACTGAAGGAGTCTGCGTCCTTGGACAGGGTTGTCCAAGGACGTTGTCTGTACCTCCGTGGACAGAGGAATAAACCGAGACCGGCTGTCTGCCAGGACATTGGACACACCCAATATGAACCGTACTGAAAGGTAAACCCCGAGAACTCAGCAGAAGAGCAACTCAAATCAACCAGTCTCAAACAGCCAAGGACAGAAAAGACCACCCCTGCGGTTCAGTCAATGAACCACCAGGGCGCAGTCCGAATGGAGCCGGATCATAGAGCCTCGAGCGAGCCGAATCCACCGCAATGAAAACCACACCACGGCTAATTCCTGCACTGTGCTGCCAATTCCTGCCTGGCGGAGGCAGTCCCCTGACTGACTTGGTGACCACTGTTCACAAAACCCCAGCCAAGAGGGACGAGGCGCCCTTAAACACATCAAGCAAGGACTCTGGCAGGCGCCATGACACTGAACCCCAGTAAACCCGAAGAGGAAGCGGAAGACACAGCAACAGACGTAAGGTCCCCGGGCGACAAATCCGGCAGTTGCGAGAGCGGCGAAAGGGACAGACCCAAAGGAACCAGAACAGATAAAGTCAAACCTGGCTGGGAGCCAAAACCAACCAGTCATCGAGGTAGGCCAAAACCCGAACACCTAGCAGACCTGGAGAGGCCACAACAACTCGGGTAAGGCTCGTGAAAACACGAGGTGTTAGATTCAGCCCGAAGGGAAGGCAACAAAAGTGGGAAGCTCGCCTCCCCATCACAAAACCTAATCAGTCCCTGAATCCCGGGTTAATGGGGACGTGCCAATACACATCCCGGGGATCCAGAAACACCATCCATGAATCCGGATCTAAGAGAAGCCTGACCTGGGACAAAGTGGTCATTTGAAAAAAGGGGGGCCCAGGAATCCAGCGGTTCAGAATACACCCAAGATCTGCACAGTCCTGTTTTAGAACTGGAAACAAGCAAGAAACCAACTCTAGGGACGAAGTTATTTCGACCACGCCCAGGCGCACCCACTCCAAGATGACCCGACAGAGCTAAGGGAGAGGAAGCCTGCCGTACCAGCCCCGAACCTTCGAGAGGAGGAGGAGCTGCCCACTGCCACCACAGGCCAGACGACATGACCTGAAACACCCACGAATCGTGTGACTAAGGGTGGGCAATCAGAGCCAGCCTCCCCCCAGCGCCCCATCAATGAGGCGACCCGCGAAAGAGCCAGCCAGCGCATCTTCCATGAAGCCGATTTACGTGCAGAGCAATCAATGTGCCGACCAGACGAAGAAAACTCTGGAGGAAGCACCGGCTCAGAAGCTGGCACCAAGGGCCCAAATCAACCTGTCAAAACTCATGACCCCGGCCACACCGGATTACCAACAAATCAGAAAGAGGTCAGCAACTGGTAGAAGAAGCCTGCAAATACTGAGAATCATGTCCAAGAACAA